GTGTGTGTGTGTGTGTGTGTGTGTGTGTGGTGGTGGGTGGTGTGTGTGTGTGTGTGTGTGTGTGTGTGTGTGTGAGGTGTGTGTGGGGAGTGTGTGTGTGTGTGTGTGTGTGTGTGTGTGTGTGTGTGTGCGCCACGACATATTGTGAAACTCTTTTACGTGCGTAACTGAACGTGCTGTGTGCATAACGTGAAAAAAGTCCGACCGAAATAGTCGCAGCTGGGCGATGTACGATTGCGGCTCGCGACCTTTTTCGATCGCGGGGATTTCTATTGCACGAAGAAAATAAGGGACAAGGTTACACGATCGCAAATGTGAATAAATTAAAATAATAAGTATAAAATTATCGATTATCTGATATTTATGGAGGAAAATATGGTTACGCAATATGTACACGGTGGCACAAATTGAAACAAATAAGAAAAATGGGAAATTTCATATTTCATATTTAAAAGTAATTGTGAATTATTTTGATGACCAGGGACAGAAATAAAGACCCTAACATTTATATTTCGTGTTTCTTGAAGAGACTAAACGCGATTCTTATTTTAGAGTGTAAGCAGATAATTTTGAGCTTCGTTTTGAGCTTTTTGTATCTTTGTATATCACGAAAGGTGTCATATTTTTTATCGCTTTATAAAATAAAATAGCAGGATAAAATGCGGAAACTTTAATTTTTGCTATATTTCCTGTAGTTATCATATAGTATAATAAAATTATAGACATGAGTGTATTTATAATTTTTTAGTAACTGACGCTTCTTTAAAACCCTTCTAGAATTTTTCTTAAATTAAAATTTAGGTTTTTTTCCAGGTTTGTACATATAATTGCATGTCAATGTGATTGTATATCATTAAATATAAAAAAAATATTGAAAGTAAACTTCCTGCAATTAATATGTTTACCTTTCGAATTGGAAAGTACCGTGGATGTAGGAAAGCAAAGGCAGATGTTGAATTTCTTTCATCATTTTTCGTCGCGCGCCCTTAAACGTGGAAAGTAAATTCAAGTATCGCAGCTGCTTGAAAGACGCAAGAGAATCTTTACCTCCATTAGATGTTACTTATATTTTAATTAAAGCTTCAACTGTAACTTAGTTAACGTTCCATTTATG